CGGACAACTGGAAAGAACAATTTGAAGGCCTCCAGTTAGAAAAAGAAGTTTTAGATGAGGAAAATTGTGCTTTGATACAGCAAGTGAAAGTGATGGCAGCAGAATTGGCGATTGAAAAAGCCTCTTCTAGTCAAATGGGCAAGGATAAATACCTCCTTGATTCTTCATTTGTCGAGCAGCTTTCTAAAGCTACTGAAGAAATTAAGGGTCTGAAAGTACTGCTTAATCAGAAGGAAGTCTATGCCGGGGAGCTTGTTCAAACGCTCACTCGAGTTCAAGAAGACCTCCATGCATCTTCTAACAAGGTCCAATTCTTAGAGAGATCACTCGCCCCTTTACAAACTTCTTATGATGCTACTTTGACTGAAAAAGAAGAGTTGGAGGCCGAAATTGAGCAATGGGAGAGGGATTACGAGGCCCTTGAGGATAAATAAACTCTTGATGTAAGCTGGAATTTCTTGAACACGCGCCTCGAGACTTTGATGGAGGCTAACCAGGAAGGTTTTGACTTGACTGCTGAGATTGCAAAAACTAAGGAAACCATTGAAAAAACTTAGCAGAGTCAAAACTTTTCTTCACCTAAGGTCGGCATTCCCGAGGGTGATGAACCTACTCCTGGTGAAGTTAGTGTTCAAATCTCTTCTGCTCAAGTCGAACCTTCTACTGCTGCTGATAGCGCCATCTTGACTTCTCCCGCTGTTGATAGTACTATTTTAGAATCTGCCCCATAGTGAACTTGGGTTTGGAAAGTTTATTGTGTTTGATTTTTTTTTATTTGTGGAATAGTTGGCAAGTTTTACCCTTGATCCGTTTTGGGGTTCAATATCAAATACTTTGGTTTGAACTAAGTTTACACTTAGTTTTAATCGGGTTTATATAATATTTAATTTTGAGTTTCTGTTCTACTCTTTTATTATGCATTTAAACATGCTTCAATACTCCGTGACTTTTTGAACATGCATGAATTATAAAAGAGGGCCCTTTTATAAACGACACTTAATGAAGAAGACGTCTCAACTTCATAATGGTGTAAACATACAAAATAAGAAATAAGAACATACACGTTTCTTTGAATAGCTTTGAGGAAGTTTTGTATCATTCGAACTTTCAAATTGTATAACACTTTACATGTATTCAAGTATCATCTATAACTCTTTCGTAACTGTTTTCTTTACAACAGATTTTACAAAATTCAAGGGTATATCTTGCAACCCATGACTAAATATTGCCTTTAACCTAAACATTCGTAAGATTTTGAAATTTACATCCACGGGTGTATTCTTGATAGGTTTTTGAATCAGGCTTGTGTTTGTGGCTCTTGACTTTGCTCTTAATTTTCGATTTGTTGGGTAGACCATAGGCTTGACTTGAATTCTGACTTTTCCAGTCTTCTTTGCCTTCCTTATATATATATAGTCCCCCAAGTGTTTGAGCTTTGAAGTATGAAATCTCGAGCACTTGATTATTCCTTCCATATGGTCCATTTCTTGAAAAGGAAAAACATACGGGACTCGGAGGTATATATAATTTAGATGATGATTACTTAACCCTTTTATATTTCCATCACAAAGGTTGCAACCCTAGACCGGGAATAATGTTGCTTCCGCATGTCCTTCAAGTCTAATATCATCATTTGGTGTGGGCTAGCTTTTTGCCTATCATCTAAAATTGTTAGTATAATTTTAACTGTACAAAACAAAAATCATAATTGAATGATACCTGACAGTGGGTATTGCTTTTGCTCAAAAATAGTATTTCTTTAAATGAACAGCATTCCAACTCGAGGGTAAAACCTTGCCATCCATGGTTTCTAATTCGTAGGCACCTTTTCCAGCGATACATCGAACTTTATAGGGTCCTTCCCAATTTGGATTTAACTTTCCTGCTCCGGTTATTTTCGTTGATTGGAAAACCTTTTTAAGAAGGAAGTCCCCAATTCTGAAGTACCTGAGGTGAACCTTTCTGTTGTAGTATCGTTCTATGATTTGCTTTTGTGCTGCCATCCATATTAAAGTTGCTTCTCTTCTTTGTTCGAGTAAGTCCAAGTTTGTTCTTAATTCCTCATCGTTCGACTCTTTCATTGCCAATGTGAATCTCGTGCTTGGTTCTCATGTTTCAACCGGGATTAAAGTTTCTGAACCGTACACAAGCGAAAATGGAGTTTCTCCCGTGGCTGTTTTTGTTGTGGTTCTATAAGCCCATAACACTCCTGGTAATTCTTCAGGCCAATTCTCTTTCAATTTTTCTAGTCTCTTCTTCAAATTATTGATGATAATCTTATTCGTTGACTCAGCTTGTCCATTTGCCACGGGTTGGTAAGGTGAAGAGGTTATTCGTTTGATTTGCCAACTTTGAAAGAACTCTGTGATTTTCGAGCCTATAAATTGTGGGCCATTATCACATACGATTTCTTTTGGGACTCCAAACCGGTATATAATGTTTCGCCAAATGAAGTCTTTCACCTCCTTCTCTCGTACCTCTTTGAAAGCTCCTGCCTCTACCCATTTTGAAAAGTAATCTGTTAATACTAATAAGAACCGTACCTTTCCTTTAGCTTGTGGTAAAGGCCCTACTATATCCATTTCCCATTTCATAAATGGCCATAGGGAAATAACTGTATGTAATAACTCTGCAGGTCGATGCATATTGTTGGCATATCGTTGACACTTATCATATTTGGCTACAAATATTTCCGCATTTTCTTCATTTTAGGCCAGTAGTATCCTTCCCTGGTTAGTGTTTTAACTAAAGATTTTCCACTTGCGTGATTTTCGCAATGTCCTTCATGTACTTCCCTCATCATGTACTCCATTTGATTGGGTCCAAGGCACATTGCTAAAGGACCGCCAAACATTTTTCGATATAAATTATCTCGAATTAGGCAGTAACGAGCAGCTTTTTGTCGAACCACTTAAGATTCTTTCTTGCCTTCAGGTATGATCCCGTACTGCAAAAAATTAACAATCTCGTTTCTCCAATCCCAGGTTAAATTATTAAAGCTTACCTCATGTTTATCCTAGTCAAGTGCTGAATGAAATAAATATATTACAATAGCATTTTCTCCGCTTGTTACTTCTACAACTGAAGCAAGGTTAGCCAACACGTCTGCTTCTGCGTTTTCTTCCCTGGGTATTTTGAACGACCTTCCATGATTGGAATTGCCTGACTAGTTCTCATGCCTTTTCCAAGTATTATTGCATTCGTGCCTCTCTAGCAGTGTAAGTCCCCTACATCAGATTGACTACCAATTGAGAGTCACTTTTAATCATGATTTTCTCTATAGAGAGTTCTCGTACTAGTTCCAAACCTGCAATTACAGCTTCATACTATGCTTCATTGTTAGTAATAGGGTAACATTTAATTGCTTGTCTTATACTTTCACCTGAGGGTGGGATTAAGACAATACCTAAATCGGATCCTTTGACATTTTAAGAGCCATCGGTAAATAAAGTCCACGTACCTGGATTAGCTCCAGTAAAAATTTGTAATTCCTTTTTACTTCATGAATTATTTTTGTATTAAAATTTGCGACAAAATCTGCTAAAACTTGAGATTTTATTGCAGTTCTAGGTTGATAAATAATGTCATATTCACTTAGTTCTATTGCCCATTTGGCTAGTCTGCCTGACAATTCTTGTTTATGCAAAATATTCCTTAATGGATATGCAGTTACTACGGAGATAGGATAGCATTGAAAATATGGTCTCAATTTCCTAACTGCCATGACTAATGCTAAAGCTAGTTTCTCTATATGAGGATATCTAGTTTCAGCATCTAATAAAGATTTGCTAAAATAATAAATAGGAGATTGTTTACCTTTGTCCTCCCTTACTAAAACTGCACTTACAGCCACTTCTGCAACTGCAAGATATACAAATAGTCTTTCTCCATCCTTGGGTTTAGACAGTAGGGGAGGATTTGTTAAGTATGCCTTCAAATCTTTGAGGGCTTGTCGGCATTCCTCAATCCATTCAAACTGATTTTGCTTCTTCAATACAGAAAAGAATTTAAAGCTTTTCTCTAAAGATCTTGAAATGAATCTTCCCAGAGCTGCAATCCTACCTGTCAATCTTTGTACCTCTTTTTTGCTTGTGAGTATATCAGGTATTTCTTCAATAGCTTTAATATGTACAGGATTTACTTCAATTCTTCTATTGGATACGAGAAAGCCTACAAACTTACCTGAAGCTACGCCAAAAGTGCACTTTTCTATGTTCAGTTTCATATTATATCTGCGGAGGATCTCGAAGGTAGTTAAAATATGTTGAAAATGATCTTTCGCTTGTGTAGATTTGACCAACATATCATCAATGTACGCTTCCATCGTCTTCCCCAGGTGTTCTTGGAACAACCTGGTCACCAACCTCTGATACGTGGCTCCAGCATTCTTCAAGCCAAAAGGCGTGACTTTGTAACAATAAGCCCCCCTGTTTGTAATAAATAAAGTTTTTTCTTCGTCTAAGGGGTCCATTTTTATTTGATTGTAACCAGAATACGCATCTAGAAAGCTTAATAATCTGTGGCCTGCGGTAGCATTAATCAATTGATCTATATGCGGTAAAGGGAATGAATCCTCCGGGCATGCTTTATTTAACTCGCTGTAATTCACACAAACTCTCCATTTACCGTTCTTTTTTGGAACTACCACAGTATTAGCTAACCAGTTAGTATATTTTACCTCGCGTATTGAATCGATCTTTAAGAGTTTCTGTACCTCTTCATCGATCACTTGATTTTTGAATGATCCTTGCTTCCTTTTCTTTTGTTTGATAGGTATGAATGATGGATCTTTATTTAATTTATGAGTCATCACCTCCGGAGGTATACCTATCATATCTGAATTTGATCATGCGAAACAATCCGTGTTAGCTTTTAAATATTCAATTAACTTACCTCTCCTATCTGGATTTATCCTTGCTCCGATATGAATTCTTCGATCTGGCTATTGTTCGAATAGTGGAGCAGCTTCAAGCTCCTCAATCGTTCTTTTAATGTTTGTTCTACTTTGGCTCTTGAATTACATCTGGTCTGGAGTCCACGTCTGTTTGTTTTGATATAATTTCTGTTGAAATTTGATTTACCGCATCTTTCTCACTTCTACCCACATCTTTTTGACTTGCACTTGTATCTTTTTGACTTGCACCCGTATCTTTTTTACTTGCATTTGTATCTTTTTGACTTGGTTGTATCACCGAATTGATGCTCTTTGAAGATTGTTGATTTCCTCGAATTTGTTGAATTCCCCATTTTGAAGGGAATTTGATAACCTGATGCAATGTGGATGGCACAACATCCATTTCATGAATCCACGACCTCCCAAGAATCACATTATAGGCCATATCCGTGTCTATCACTTGAAATTGTGTTTCTTTGATGACCCCTTCTGTGTATGTGCTTAGTTTAATCTCGCCCTTTATAAAAATAGTTGAGTTATCAAACCCATATAAGGAACGTACTTTTGGAACTACACGATCGCCCATCAGCATTTCGTTCACCACTCTTAATAGAATGATGTTCACGGAGCTACCTGGGTCAATTAAAACTTGTTTTATATTAGTATCATGTATAAGTAAAGATATTACCAATGCATCGTTGTGAGGAATCATTAATTCATCATCATCTGCATCATCAAAGGTTATGTTGCCGTCTTCCAGAGTTTGGCGAGTTTGCTTCCCGTGTGTTATTGTGAACTTTGTTGTTTTTCTCCCAGTTGTATAGGTTACGGCGTTGACTTCTTCTCCGCCGTTTATCACATTTACTGTTCTCTTCGGAGACGGAGGTTTTGGGGGCTCTTGCCTATTTTTCATGTAAGCTTGTTTGCCTTTCTCGCCGAAAATTTATGTCAGATAGCCCTGCTTCAATAAATGTTCCACCTCACCTTGTAATAATCTGCAGTCTGATGTTCTATGGTCGTGGTCATTATGGAACTCGCACCAAAAGTATGGGTTTCTTCTATTTGGATTTGATCTCATCACTTTAGGTCATCGTACCTTATCCCCCATGCTTCTTAAAACAGCGACCAACTCGGAGGTACTCACGTTAAAATTGTAGTCCCTAATCCTTGCGTTTGTATTAGCATCTCTGTTGCGGTTACCTCGATCTTTTCTGAATCTCGACGATGACGAACTTGAATCTCTATTTGCGAACCTGTGATCAGCCCGCATGTTTTCGAATTTAGAACGAGCTTCTCGCCCCGAAGGTCGCATATAAGGCTTGTACCTATTCTTACCGGACCTCTTCTCAGATTCTGACTGCCTCGAACCTGTTTTTTCTTTAACCCTTGACTGAGCTACGATATCTCCTTCGATCCGTAATTTGGTATTGTACATATTATAGACATCATTCCATGCCGTGGCAGGGAATTCTCGTAGGCTCTCTTTAAGCCACCTCGTAGCTTCTGAACTTTTCTCGTTTAAATTGCTTCCAAATGCCATGGCTGTCCAATTATCAGGTACTCTTGGTAGCAACATTCTTTCACGTTGGAATTTGTCTACGAATTCTCGAAGCAATTCTGTATCTCCTTGCTTTACTTTGAATATATCCTCTATTCTCTTTTTAACCTTTTGTGCACCCAAGTGTGCTTTTATAAATAGATCTGCAAGCTTAGTAAAAGAGTCAATAGAATTTTCAGGTAAAAGAGAGTACCATGTTAACGCTCCTTTAGTAAGTGTTTCCCCAAACTTTTTGACCAGCACAGATTCAATCTCCTGCTTGGTTAAATCATTGCATTTTACTCCCTTGGTGAATGCAGTAGCGTGGTCACGTGGATTGGTCGTTCCATCATATTTTGGGATGTCAGGAATTTTGAATTTTTTGGGAATTGGTATTGGAGCTGCGCTTGGTTTCCATGGTTGCTGTGAATATTTGTCGAAATCAACTCTTTTGATCACAGGTGGTACATCAAATATTTGCTCAATACGGTCGTTTTGTTCTTTCACTTGTTTCTGCAAGGTTAGTATTAAAGTTTGTAAATCAGAATTATTAGGCGTACCTGGTCTCCCATCACATGACTCGTTGGGAGTTCCTCCGCTTTCAGAATTAACCAACGCTGACCGTGGAATTTCCACAGTTGCAGTATTGTTTGGTGGAGGTGTGGGTGGCACAGCTGGTAGTCCCCTCACGAAAGCCTGGAGAGCATCATTCACGTACTCAGCAATTAACTGCTTCACAGCATCCTGCTCAACAGTTTGTTCATTTCATGTTGTTCATTGTTATAAGTAGTGGATCTTTCTGGTGATGCTTCTCTTGAATTGCATGGAGTTCCTTGAGGTGACGGAACTAGAGTTCCTTACACCTGTTGGTTGTTGTCATTGACATTCAACATGATTCAGTTGAGAGAGAGTGATTTGGAAAGTAAGAGAAGATTATCAGATTTCCGATAACGGAACCAATTTGTTTAACCAAAGAATTGGATTCTCAGTTAAAGCCTATTTTTAGAAGTACTCGGGTTACTGATAATCAAGAAATTTAATATTCTCTGAGAAATAAGAAATGAAATTAGAATAAGAAATGGCAAATAATCAATTGAAAGCACAAGAAAATAATTATATTCCAATAATAATCAGAACGTGTCCTTACAAGTGAAATTCTCTTCCCTTATATAGTAATTTACAAATATAACGTTTCTTCCCTTTTATGACCGAATTATTATGAGCATTAATGACATTAATGAAACGTTATAATTGGCAATTGTAACTGTTCATGAAGATTTTGTAACGGTTCCGATTCTTCTTCCACATTAATTAGAGGTTCATGAATCTTCCCTCTTTACTATCGTGAATCTTTTAATGCGACACTCCAGTTGTCATCTTCTTAGTGATCCACGTATCATGCCCTGTCATCCTCATATAATTTCACGTGTAATATTTATTTTTTACTAATACAATGCGCGCGCGCACACACAGAGAGGTAAACAGAGAACTTTGGAACGACCATATTCATTCATAGTTACATTACATCAATCTTTATCCATTGTTCAACTGAAGAGAACTTTAGATTATGCAACTGAATCTTTATAGACTGGAACGCATACAGAGAGGAAAGACAAAGAATAGGGTAAAAAATGTAGTGTTCATCAGGAAATGTTCCTGAAAAAATATAGAGGGGGAGTTTGCTTGCTAGTTCATATCAGTATCTAGGTACTTCACCACTATACAGAAGTGGAAGTGGTGAAGTAGAAAAAGAAGCAAAATTACCATCTTCATCTGCATTAGACAAACATGTAAATGAACTTGACTTGATAATATTAGTTGATCCTAAAGAATTCCAACGTTCAGTTTCGTCGAACCCCAATTCTCCATCATCAGCATTTTGCCCTGTTGGAGCCTCAGGCATCAGAATTTCACCTTCCAAGTATCTTACCACTTGCCTAATGCTCGGCCGCGCCAATGGCTGGTTATTTGAGCACATTAATCCTAATTTTAATACCATCAAAACCTCATTCTCATCGAATTCACCTTTCAATCTGTAGTCCACAACCTCAAGAATTTTCCCTTCTCTCCATTTGTCCCACACCAAATCCACCAGTACAAACTCCTGAGGTTCTGCCTTGGGCTCAATCGGCCTACGTCCACAGACTACCTCGAGTAACAAAGCACCAAAGGCAAACACATCAGAACTCGTAGTGGCCCGTCCTGTTCTTGGCAATTCTGGTGCAAGGTACCCCAATGTGCCTACCACCCTAGTCGTGCACGGATTTGATCCGTGCTCATATAATCTTGCTAGTCCAAAATCCCCAAGCTTTCCGTTTAATTCACCGTCTAGTAGCACATTACTAGCCTTAACGTCTCGATGTACCACAACTTGTTCATAGCCTTCATGTAAATATAGTAAACCAGAAGCAACCCCTTTGATTATCTTGAACCTTTGTTCCCATGTCAATACCAATTTGGGCTGATCAAACAAGAAGTTATCCAAGCTTCCATTAGGCATAAAATCATACACAAGCAACAAATCACCACGACGCCTACACCACCCTAGCAATTGCACCAAATTCCTATGACGGAGTCTTCCAATGCTGGCAATTTCAGACACAAATTCCTTCAAACCTTGTTTAGATTCATGCGAAATGCGCTTCACGGCAATTTGTGTTTTTGAATTTCGTAAAATACCCTTGTAAACTTTACCAAATCCGCCACGCCCGAGTAGTTCACTGTCCTTAAAACCTTTAGTAGCTTGCTTGAGTTCTTGGTAAGAATATCTGTGAGGACCAATCTCAAGCTCCCAAGGCTCTATTACATCAGCATTCTTGAACCTCCAGATTAAATAAATAGCAACCAAGATCGAGCTTAACGCGAAAACAGCTGCAGCAATTGAGATGACTATAATTAAGCCAGTGTGTTTCTTCTTGGCTCCAGGAAGTGATGGCAAAGAATCCAAGTCTAAAAATTTAGCTTCTCCATTTAACTTAAAACTCCAACCTAAAATGTAATGTGAACTTGCAAGCAAACCAGTAGAAGCAGAGAAGCCAACATACATAGTTTCCTTGAGAATTGGAGAGAGGTCTAAATGATAAGAGAAAAGAGGAATTTTGGGTTTTAAAGAAGTTGGTGAAAGAGTAACATTAACTAATTTCTTGACAGAATCATATTCTATCCAAGCAAGAATAATCTTTCCACTTTTGAGATTCAAATCTTCTTTCACTGACTCATTATCCTTATAGTAAGCAGCTGCAGCAGACATATTGGACTGTAAACTGTTGAGGTTGACACCAACATGGTTATCATTAATATCTCCGAACTCAAAATCTCGTACCGTGTCGAATTCAACAGCAAAAATGTGATTAGAGAAATTACCAACATCACTTGCATTAAGCAGGCCTAAATACTGACTTGGAAGAGCTGTACTAAAATCTTTTGAGTGAGAAACAGTGAATACTAAGCCATGGCCACCTAGTTTTGGATATTCAGGGACGATAGCGAAAGCAAAACATGTTGAGAAAGAGAAGGCGGTACTATTATTACTGGAGTTCTTGAAGTGGAAAGGTGAAGAATAAAAGGCATGGCCCATTAGTCTACTTGTGTCATTGGTTAGCTGAAGAAACCCATTTTGGGCTATTTCTGCAACTCCACTCAAGCTTATGTTGTTGTTATTTGGTTCATTGAATCTTGTATATATGAATTCATCAACCTCAGATGAAACAAGAATTGAGAAACAAATGATGGGGCAGAGGAATATAAGACAACTTACCATTTGTAAATAAGAGTTTTAAGATTTGTATTGAGAGCAAAGAGAAGGATTTTGAGCAGGTTTTAAAGAATGAATATTGAATTTTTTCTTCTTATGCAATGGGGCACATGGAGTTGAGAGGAAAGTTACAGAAAAACAGAAGGGTGACATTTATTTTGCAGAAGCATTGTCCTTTAGACTAAAGTGAAAGAGAGGTTCTTTTATTTATAGCAAGTTAGTTGTTATGACATCTGACGCAATGAACCACTAGTTAGTTGTCACTATTCTTTACCGAAGAAGAAGTTTCAAATTAATGCACTGCTTAAAATTGGGTCATAGGTGGAGGCTGTAGAAAACAAAGAGCTTCTTCCCCTCTCTTTTTGGTGTTTCTTTAACGTATGTAAAAGAGTGCCGTTATTTGCAAGCAAGTTTCAATCTTTTCTTATTATTTTAATTTTTGGAGATTTTTACAAATAGGATCTTTTGAGATTATTGTTTAATTTTTATCCACATTAAGAAAGTTTTGCAAAAATAGCCCTGGAACTACCCGAAAGAATGGAAAAACTTTGTTAACAAGTGTTGCAGATATAACTTTGGTATTATCTCCATTCTACCTATCTTGTTAAATTATCACAAATTT